CACTCTTTGCTACTTGTTCGGACATCATCATCTGCAAGTTCAACCACTTTTTTTCTTTCTGATTGTGAAATCACTATATTTTGTCAATCTTCTCCCCAAATCCTCCTCCATGACACTAGTGAAAAATAAACCATAGCTACCCCCATTGCGAATGCCCAAAGGACAACAAAAGACAGACTAAGACTGTAAATCAACTCTTAACATTAACTACTAAAACATCTCATCTCAACGAGAATGAAACCACTCGGAGAAGGGAATCGAAGCTCTCAAGCAAGATAATTTGATTGAATTATTTGTGCAATTATATATTTTGAACTTTTAACCTTTTTTTTAATCTAAAAAGTGGTCATTTGCTAAGTTACTCTCAACAAAAAATCTATGCAATATGCAAAAATTTAATTAAATTAAATTCAACGGAGTACACTTATATTTCTTCATAAATTCTAATTTCAACTTGAATTATAAATACATGAAATCTCATAAAATTTTATTTTTTGTTTTTTTATGTTTGAGATGGTATGGAGAGTGTAGATGTTTTTAAAAATATGATGGTATACGATTTTGTTTTTTTTTTCCAAACGAGATATTATAACTATGAAGAAACGGACAAAACACAAATCAACGTACAAACCATGAGAGACTCACTCAAAGAGTGATCTAGAAACACAAAGCCAATACACAAGAAAAAGCGGGGATGCAACCACCGAAGACTTTCCCTTGCCAAATCAACTATCTAAAGACACCTCAACACTACAAACCAAAAAGATAAAAAAGGAAGGAAAACTCTAAGCAAGAAAAACAACTCAAACTAAACATAACACAACATCCATTAAAGCTATCAATGCAAGCTCGAAAACTCTTGCCATTCTCTCCATGCCCCTTGCACAACAATCTCTTCCGGCATCCACACCTTCTCAAACAACCATAGATTCCGAGATCGCCAAAGCCACCATAATATTTACGTGGATAGCTTTATTCTAGCTTCGGCCACCTCGGATTTATTCAGTGCACACATTTTCCACCACCAAACTTTAAAAAACTGATTCGGCAAATGTTGGTCTTCCCACTCCACATGAGCTATTTTCCAAACTTTTTTGGGCCCTGTTGCATGTGAGTAGAAGATGTTCAATACTCTTTGGCTGCTCTTCACACATATGGCACACCACATCTGCCTGAATACCTCTTCTGACCACATTGGTGCTCACTGGCAAAGAACCAGTGAAACACTTCCATAATAAATGTTTAACTTTCCCTTTAACTGTCAATTTCCATGTTCTGTTTCTGGCAAGTTTATCCACCAAAGCAAACTGCCTGCTTTCAGCTTCATCCAGCAGAAGAAGTTTTTGGGTCATTAGATGTTTATAAGAGCTAGCTACTGTGAACTTACCCCCAATGTCAAGGTTCCATCTCCATCTGTCTGACTTGTCTGATGATATGGTTTTGATTTCCATAATTGCCAGTCAGAGTCATTGAACAGCTCAGAAGATCTTCATTCCAACTGTAGCCATCTTCCTCCAACAGCTCTTGCACCCAACTTGGATTTTGCCTGTCAGAGTCTAAGAATACAGGCCTAGCATGTTGGAGACTGGGAACCCAGCTATAATTAATGATTTTGGTTAGTCTCCCATCTCCAATTTTCTTATGCAAGCCTTTAGCAAATATAGGAATAACAACAACCAATAGTTCTATAACCGTGAAGCTGAGTTATTTTTTTCACCTAAAAAATAGAAGAAGATGGGTAGATATGATGGTATACGATCATTATGTTATTCCTAAGGCATGATTACAAAGTTATTTTAAATATTTTTATTTCCACTAAATCTATATCCTCCCTATATATAATTTCCGAATGCGTTGAACCTACGTGGCTGCTTCTGGTGCTTCGAAATCCTATTTGGCGAAGAATCATACTTCGTAATTAGGTTTGGACAAATAATATTAATATATTAATAATTAATAATCTAGGTTCGGGTATTCTATAAATATTATTTAGCTAACTTAGGTATTTTAATATCACGTTTACTAATATAACCCTTTTAATTCTTTGTAATTTTACATAGTGAGACATTAAGTGACTAATATATCCCTAAATTTTGATTTGCTTCCTTCAATAAGCTATTGAATTATAAATGTATTTTAAAAGTAGATAACTTTTGTATTTCTTATCGGTTTTACATATATAATATATCAAATTAATCATCTTTTGATGATTTTTGATTTGACATCCATATTTTATATATATAATAAATAAAAATTATATCTAGCTTTATAATAATAAAAAATTATAATATTTATTAAAATTTATTAGAAAAATAAAATTATTTCTCAATTGATATATTTATATTTAATGTAGTTATATATTGTAAGTTAAAAAATTAGTATAATATAACACAAGTAAGTCGCACAAATAAAAAGTATCATAATAAATATATAATAATATATATATTCTTATAAAAGATATTTAAATTTTTAAACTACTTTTTTTTATTAATTTTAAATTTTAAGAAAAAAATTAGCAAACACCCGTGTAATACACGAGTGATGTACTAGTAGGATAAATAAAACCATACATAAATAGTCATATAGACAAATACTGTACATATACTATATAACATAACTATAGGCAAAGCAAATCCTCCCTTTATATAATTCTCGAATGCGCTAAGCCTACGTGGCTGCTTTTGGTGCTTCGAAATCCTATTTGGCCAAGATTCATGCTTCGTAATTAGGTTTGGACAAATAATATTAATATATTAATAATTAATAA